GTAATCGGAATGTACAATAAACATGTTAATAAAGGTCATGAGGAGCCAGGCATGGTGGCATATGCCTTTAGTCCAAGCTACTTGGGAGGCTGAATAAGAGGATTGCTTGATCCTGAGTTTGAGACCAACTGTAACATAATGAGACCTCATCTCCAATATATGTGTGTATATATACACACACAAACAAATATAATAAATATAGAATATAAATTTATGTGTATTTATTTATATATGTGAATACACACACACACACACACACGTACCTGGGACCTAGAAATTGCAGTATGCTTAGCCTGAATACCTTTATCATGTCACACATTAGACACAGAGTGAAAATTAGTTATAATATATTGGAGTCAACAGCAAAGGATGGATTTGCTCCCTTCTCTATTCAGAAAACAATTTTTAAAGTGAGATCATTTGTATCACCCACTACTTTAGGTTACAGTTGAAGGACTGAAATACAATTCCTTCTGCCTTCCCAGCACAGGAGGCGTTTCTATTGTTCCTCATGATCATGTGACATCTGTCAGGGCACTCTAAACTGTGGGGGGAGGCATTTATAAACATTTTAAAGAAGAGCTGAAACAGCTTTTCCTAAGTCCCTTTTCACTATTTTATTAATATAAAACAAAACCATAGTACAATCTAAAGGAACAAAAAATTTCAGAAAGTCCCACTGGTGTACCTGAATCTTCAAAGCAATGGCTGCTGCAGAACACTCAGAGATTGGCAATTCCTAACAAATTTCTGGACCTCACGTATTGCAAAACACAGAAATGACTAAGGGTCATTTGAAGAAAGTAAGTAGATGCGAACAAGCTTGGGATAGAAGCTGGTGACTGTGAAGTGGCCGTGGGAAGTCAAGGGCAGTACCAGATCAAGAGAAGTACTTGAAGGAAGGTGGTGGCGGTGAAGGTTAAGGGCTCAAAGAACACGCATGCCCAGGGCTTCTGCTTAGGTTAAGCTGGACGTCCAGGGCTCGATAGAGAGGTGGGAGCAGGAGTTGTTCTGACAGCCTGGGAACAGAGGCCCTGGACTTGCAAGAAGGCTGCTTCCCAACAAATCCACCTGAGTCAAAAATATCAACAGCCAAAAGCACTCAATAGCCTGATAAGCCCATTGAGAAGTCAAAGGCTCTGCGTCACCATGCCTCCCAGCACCTACTTGGCCCTCTGGTCTTCTCTTTCATCCATCTCCACCATTCCTAGGACAGCCAATAAAGATTCTGAAATTCTAAAACCAGTTAGTTGAATGAGTCCAACACAAAGGCCAGAGGCCCTGGAGAGTGGGCTCAGGACCGGCCTCCCGAACACGGGTCTGCAGCTCACCAACAAATGCCCTGAAGGCAGACCATGGAAGATAAATGCCTGGTGGGTTAGAGATGGTAATAAACCCTGTCTGAGAATGCTGCATTCTGATTATCTAACTTAACCCAACAAAACATACTATCTTGAGAAAGGATGAATAATTGTTCCTTATTCTCCAAATATCAACCATGTCAGGTCTGCTTTTGTTGAGAATCACAAAGTAGTAATTACAGGTTAAAATTTCAAGCAAAATCCTGCAGAAAATACTGTGTGTGACTAACAAGAATGACCAATCTATTTTGGATAGAAAACTTAAATAATCCAATCAATAAATGGTCAAAGGAACTGAACAGGCATTTCCCAGAAGAAGAAATATAAATGGTCAAAAACTATATGAAAAAGTGTTTAAAATCTCTAGCAATTAAGAGAAATGCAAATTAAAATTACACTGAGATTCCATCTCACTACAGTCAGAATGGCAACAATCAAAAATATAAGTAACAATAAAATGTTGGCAAGGATGTGGAGAAAAGGTTCACTCATACCAATTTGCCGATGGGACTGCAAATTGGTACAACCACTCTGGAAAGCAATATGGAGATTCCTTAGAAAACTGGGAATGGAACCACCATTTGACCCAGTCATCCCACTCCTCAATTTATTCCCAAAAGACTGAAAAGCAGCAAACTACAGTGAAGTGTCAACATCAATGTTTATAGCAGATCAATTCACAATAATTAACCTATGGAACCAACTTAGGGCCCTTCAACAGATGAATGTATAAAGAAAATGTGGTTCATATACACAATGGAATATTATTTATCAATAAAGAAAAATTAAATTATGGCATTTGCTGGCAAATGAATGGAACTGGAGGCTATTATGCCAAGTAAAATAAGTCAATCCCCCAAAACCAAAAGGTGGAATGCTTTCTCTGATATGTGGATGCTAACACATAATAAAGTAGGGGAAGGAAGAATAGAAGTTCATTGTATTAGACAAAGAGGAATGAAGGGAGGGATGGGGATGGAGAAGACAGTAAAATGGATCAGATGTAACTTTCCTACGTTTATATATGAATATACAACCAGTGTAACTCCACGTCATGTACAACCACAAGAATGGGATCCTAATTAGAATAAATTATACTCCATGGATGTACAATATGTCAAAATACACTCTACTGGCATGTATATCTAAAAAGAACAATTTAAAAAAAAGTAAAAAAAAAACTTGCAGACAGAGGAACTTTCATGAAAATTTAAGCAACTGGATAGTGGCAGGAATGTTTAAAAAAGGGAATGTTTTTGAATTTTGGAAAGTTCAAGAGAAATCCCCTAAAACATACAAAATTAGCAGGCCCTGTACCAAGCAGTCTGCTGCAGTACCCTGTTTTAATCTCATCGCAGTTCCAGGGTGGCAATAGCATCACCATTTGTCATTCAAGTAACAACAGGAAACCAGGCCCACGTGGGCTGCAGTGGCAAGAGGAGTGGGGCGAGCTCCAGGGCTCCCACCAGGCTCCAGAGCTTGACCTCTGTGCAAATCTCACTGTCTTTTCCTGCATAAGCCTCCTTCTGAGGCCCAGGCGGTAGCGCCCACAGCTCCAGGCTCTCACCTGCATGCTGAGAGCTCCTCCACATTGGGGGGAATGTGGAGGAATTTCCCAGTACCACTGGGAAAGTAGCTGAGTGCCTCTAATTGGCCCATGGAGGTCACATGCCCACCCCTGGCCGCCCCCAGGGGCAAGTCACAAGGTTTTCTGACTAGCTGAAGCTGGCCACCTGTCCCTCCCAAGACGGGTCCCCAGGCTACTCCTGGAGGATGCTGAGGGAGAAGCAACAAGATCCCCTTTACAGCTCAGGAGCCCATGGTCTAGGAAGATAAAGTGACTTGCTGAAAATCAGACACGTAGAAATAAGTCTAGGTTGACCTTAGGTCTACTTGCCACACCCATATGTACCTGTTTAGCACTAGAATTTAACAATGCAAAAAGACCCTTACTTAACTTCTAGATATAACACCAAGTTGAAACATAACAACACTGCTTCATTATGAATTTAATTTGGCTAACAAAAAAAAATCGTAACCTATTTTAAATATGCTTTTGAAAATTTCAAAAAGGAGTTTCCAGTTTAGAAAATTCATTTCCACTAAGAAAAAATTAGAACCCTAAGTGGAGTTTTATTGTCTTCTTTCATAGATATATCCAAAATTTATGTTAATTTTTAAGTCCTTGGTGATCAATGACTACTTTCCAATCTACCTTGGTAACTTTTTCAGATTTTGCTTTCCAGGAAATTTAAAAAAAAAATTTACATTTACATTTTTTGTACTGTCATATTTTATTCCAATTAAAGTACAAGAAAGTTAAATTAACAAAATAAAGTCACTGTTGTTTGAAAGCAGAAGAAAAAACTTCTACTGACCATGATGAAATATGAGTTAGTAGATTTAAACAACTCAAAAATCAGATGAAAAGCGTAAACTGGTGGTTTGCAGACCTCGACAGCAGGCAGCACAGGACTGTGGTCCTAAGGAAAGGCTGTTTCAGCAGCCTGTGGAGTTTCCGGGCCACAATGCAAACAGGCCCTTGTAGTGGAGTTGAGCACACAGCTCGGATTCCAGGGGCCAGGAGGGAAGACCTGTGGAGACTGCTCCGAGGTCTCCTGGAGCTCCTCTAGGTCTTCACCTGAGCACGCACCAGCTCAGGCCTGTGGGGATCGACCCGAAGCCCGGACAGCCCGGGCACTTCCTGGGGCATCTGAGGGCTGTGGCCGGTGGGAAAGCAGCCCTGGGCGCAAGCCTCTTTCAACAGCTCACACCAGCGCCCACAAGGCCTGGCACAACCGAAACTCCCAGGCACCCACAGGGGACAGAAGACCCACAGAAACAGGCCCAGCAGTCACACAGAGGCAGGTGCCGATGCAGACAAGTCATCAGAGGCCCGGGACAGCCCAGAGTGACCGACAGCACAGCGGAAGGCACGGGTGACCAGACCCAGTGACCGACAGTGCAGCCGTGGACATGTGTAACAAAGACATGTGTGACCATGCCAGGTGAGTGACAGGACAGCTTCGGACACAGGTGGCCAGGTCTGACAGTACCATCACGGCAGGCGGGTAGCAGGCCTTGCAACCCTGCACACCCACGGACCTGGCTGACCAGGCCCTGTGACCCAGCGTAACCACAAGGGTGACCAGGCCCTGTGACCCAGCCTAACTGCGGCACTAGTGGACCAGGCCTGTGGCCAGGCGACGGCTGGTGCACCTGTAGACACCTGTGACCAGGCCCTGTGGCTGATGACACGGCGGCGGGCAGGCGACCCAGCGGTGGGCGGAGGGCGCGCGGACCCTGGAGGGTAGGTCGGCGGGGCGCGCGAGCGCGCAGGCACAGCCTGGACCCCGAGGGGCCCGCGGCGCTGGGGACGCTCGCAGCCGACCGCAGCGTACCGCCTCACGGGTCCCCGCGCGCTCCCCGCCACACTGGCCAACGGCGCGGCCCCGCGACGCGCTGGCGTGGGGTCGTTGGCGCGACGCGCGGGGAGAGGTCGATGCGCGTGCGCAGCGGCGGTGTCCGGCGCGCGTGCGCGCTGAGAGGAGAGCGGACCGGTGGTGGGGGGGGGGCATGCGCACCGCGGCCTGTGCCCAGGCGGCGGTTGCTACGGCAACGGCAAGCGCGGCCGACGTACGGCGCGGCCGTGTGGCCGGGGCCCGCGCGGTTCACTAGCGACCAGCGCCTGGCGGCGTCCAGGTCGTGCATTGCGCGGAGCTGGCGGCGACCGCCGCTGCCGTACAGCGTTAAGGCGCGGGGTCCTCCACGGCCCGGCTCTGGGCCCGCCCTCGACGCCTGGGGACTGGATGAGAACCTCCTTCCTGGTCTCTCGATGCAGTGACCGAAGGGACAAGGAAAGGTGACAGCACAACAGGAGGGTCCGCCTGCGCTGCCGCTCTCCTGGGTGCCGGTCCTTCGAGAGGCTGCCCAGTGCCGGTGACCGGCCCAGCCCCGGCACGTGCCGGCAGCCGCCGCCCCCGGACGCGCGGGAACGTGCCCCTGGCTCGGCGCTGGGCCTCGGAAAGGCGCGCTGCCCAGAGGCCCCTGGGGAGGAGCCGGGACCACGGGCCGGTGCCGGGCACCCGGCTGCCTCCTAGATGAGCGAGCAGCCCAGCGTGGCGGGGAAGGCGGCGGTGTGCGGGGCCACCAGGCCTGGCAGGGTTCCTCTTCCCTCCAGAGTCTAGCTGCCTCTGTCTCCCGAGGAAGGAACATGCCCACTCGTCCCGCCCCTGGTGCGACTTGTTCCCTTCTGTTCTTCAGACCTCAGCTGTAGGAGGGTTTCCTTTACTAGTCCTAGTTCTCTGATTTGGTCTGAAGTTTTGTGGCATTTATGTCTTATTTACCAGTAGCTTGTTCTTGTTTATTTTAAAATGTTCTCTCAAAATCAATGGGGAACTGCTTGGGGATAGGACTGAGGTATTGACTGGTTTAATTCCTCCCCTTGCTCTTATCAGTTCATTATCAAAGACTTTTTTTTTTTTTTGGTACTGGGGATTGAACCCAGGGATACTCGACCACTGAGCCACATCCCCAGCCCTATTTTGTGTTTAATTTAGAGACAGGGTCTCACTGAGTTGCTTGGCACCTCCCTTTTGCTGAGGCTGGCTTTGAACTCAGCATCCTCCTCCCTCAGCCTCCTGAGCCACTGGGATTATAAGCATGCACCACCCGCCCAACATCAGTTAGACTCTTAATATGTATGTTCCCACAAAATCCATAAGAGCTCTTTATGTACACTCTGATTTTCTGTTCGCTGTGTTTTTTGCAGCAGAATAATGAAAGCAAGGTGATATGGTTTGATGATAGGATTTGTTGAAGCCAAGTCACAACTTTTCCTGATTCAGCATGCTAAAACATAAGGTACACCATCCTTCTTAAAACATACACACGCTTTTACTCATGGGATATATTTTAACTCCGCCTTTTGAGAATGTACAAATAGTATTTGGTGTTTCAGTGAGGAATCGTGAGCAGAGAGGAGAAGCACATGGTGTGGGGCACTGGAAGGTAGAGACAAGTGTTTCTGACAGCTGCCCAGGCATCCTGTATGGGGAACTCGTCCATAGGAGAAATGTATTTTGACCAAAAAAAAAAATATATATATATATATATATGGGGGGCTGGGGTTGTGGCTCAGTGATATAGCGCTGGCCTAGCATATGTAAGGCACTGGGTTTGATCCTCAGCACCACATAAAAATAAGTAAATAGAAATAAAGTTATCATGTACCTACAACTAAAAAAAATATTTTTTAAAAAATGCACTGAAGTGCAAGATGCTCTTTAGGATTTGCCTGGAGTCTAATTTAATTAGTATGAAACAGTAGGTTTGTTTAGACATGCATAGGTTTATAGGTCATAATGAATTTATTTACACTATAATTAAGGCTTTAATAATCAAATAAGCAGATATTCCTGTTGTTAACCTTGCTGATGAGCCTGGGGTTGGCTCTGGTATAGAAGCGATGGCTCGAGTTCCTTTGCCAGGTGATTCCATCTCCCGTGCCATCAAGGGCCAGGCCTCATGTTTCTTCCCAATGATACATTACACAGTGCTGTTGTAAATGAGACCTTTTTCCTATTTTTTAGGATCACTCATCTAAAAAAGATAACTTAGCAATCACTGCGGTTGCTTTACAAGATCACATTTTACATGACCTTCAACTTGGAAATCTTTCAATAGCAGATAATTCTAAGACAGAAGTACGAAAGAAAGAGAACAAGGCAAAATCTCTGAAGAGAGATGCAAAAGCAGTAGTAGATACTGGACTTAAAAAACCCACGCACAGCCCCAGGGTAGAAGATCCGGAAAGAGAGTACGTTCTTGATCCCACACCACCGCCGCTGACTTTAGGTAAGCTGATCCGACCGTCCCCACACTGGCTGGTTAGCGCTGATGAACCTGCTGAGTTTAGTAATGGAGGGTTTTTGATACAGAGATCCTGTGCTTACCCAGAAAGGTGTGTATGTATTGAAGCTTACAAACAATGAGGGACAATTTGAACAAGAACATAAAGACAGTAATACTTGGTAGAATGAGAATAAAAAACAGCAGATTGGAAGAAATACCCATTAATCCATACCAATAAATAATTGAATAAATAAATTTTGTAAAAAAAATTCCTGAGAGTGGAATGACAACTAATTGCAGCTGCCAGGGTGATAGAAAAACCTCCACTTGGTGACCACCACAGGAATGGTCAGCAGCAGAAAGGAATTCAGGGAGAACCATGTGCGGACGGTGGACACTCAGATGGAAAGGCAGTAACACAGTGACCTCGGCACACAGCACCTTCACCCAGCAAATTGTACCAGTAGAGACTCGACTTCGTGTGCCTCCTGAGAAGAGGTGACTTCACTCTGGGCGCTCTTGCCCAAAATGCACATCTGAATGTGACCATGAGGAAACCTCAGACCCGGATTTCCTGCCAGCACTCTTCAAAAGCCTCCAGAGAAGCAGAGACCTAGAAACTCCCAGATGACAGGAGACTACAGGGACATGATAACTGAACACAATGTGACATCCACTCCGAGATCAGGAAAAGGACATCAGTGAGACAGTGAAATTTAAATGAGGTCTGTCGACTATGCAGTCCAACCCATCTGAGGAGTGTGTTCCCAGACCCCCATGGGTGCCTGAAGTCACAGATAGTATGGAACCCCATATGTAGTGCTTTCCTCCTATACACACAGACCGATGATGAAGTTTGGTTTGCACATTAGGCACAGTAAGCGGTTAGCAGCATGAACAGTAACAGAACAACCGTTACCATACCCCGTGATAGAAGTTAAGTGGACATGTCTCTCAAAATACTGTCCTGTACTCACCCTAATCTCATGATTAGCTGAAGTGAGTGACGTTCCTTGACACAGCCCTGGGCCACATTGGTGTCAGGAGCGTCGTCTGCTTTGGGTGACGGCAGATCCTTGAGCCCTGATGATACCGATGGCTGGGGAGCTCCACGGTTGACAGTTCTTTTTGCTGAACCCTTTGGAGAGTGCTGTAGTGGGAAGTGGTGGCCTCTTTCCTTTTAACTCACTGAGCCATTGCTGTGGGGGTTGGTGACCACTTGAGTGCTGCGTTGCGTGGGAGGACATAGTTCACACTCTCGTCCTTGAGTGTCCTGCCGTGTAAAGCACTTTAGTGAGTTTGGGTGATGTCCATGCTGCTGGTTCTGCTCCGTTTCTTCCTCCTCTTCCTCTGTCCTTCCACGTCACTGCACGGTGGCAAATGCTTCTCCATCTCCTTGTCTTGCTGCATGAACAATTCTCCTGACTTCGCAGCCGTTCCCAGGAAGCCTTTTAAAACATCCTCCACTTCACTCCCTAAGTTCTTCCAGCGGAGTCTTCCAGCTCTGCCCCACGTCCAGAGTAGGGTCTGCATCACTTGCCAGTCAGAGGTGGTCCCACAGCAGGCACCGGGACCGGTGACGTCCTGATCCTGTTCATTGGGAAACTTGTTGGAATGAGGCTTTGCTGAGTCCTCTTGTGGCTTTTGTTTCCAAGTCACTTTCTGTTTTAATTAATGTACTTTCGTAACATGTTTTAATAGAAACATGGAACAGGTGGTGTCTGAGATGAAATAGAGCCTTGACCTTGTCATTTTCACAGCAAACAGATTCAGGATGACCAGGTGCACTGCCTGTCATTGATAAGGCTTTAAATTCCAACCCTTCCTGTCCGTGTAAAAGGGCAGCAGCGTCTTCCTTGGCAGGCAGTCTCGCCCGCAGTTTCCATGCTTTCAGTCCAAACCTGTCCCTGAATCATCCCTCAGGTGCAGCGAGTGAGTTGGTGCCCCTTGTTGCAGGGGACCCCTTGCTGAAGGCTTCACGGGCTTCAGGCTTCTGCTGCAGCTTGCTGCTGTCCTTGGAACATGTTCCTGTCTTCCACCCACAAGTATTTTAAACCTTTTCCATCTTAACTAGGCCCCTGGGATGCACTGTGGCTGTGACTTCTGCAGAGGTGTGATGGTGAAACTGGACTGAGAGACAAAATGTGATTCTCTGCTTCTGATGGTGGGGGAGGCCTGTGACCTCTGCTGCTGAGAAAGCCTGTTTTGTGTTGGCAGCTAATCATGGCAGGGGGTGTCTGCCGGCACCCACTCCGAGGGGCATGCCCAGCAAAGCCAGATTCTTCTCTACTACGCGTGTTGAAGTTCTGTGCTGTAGTAGTAAGTGTGGGCTGTGCCCTCCAGTGTTGCAATAGACCCCAAAGCTCACTACAACTTCTTTCTGACTTATTGTCTCTCAGGACAGTGGAAGGCACGGGTTAAAGGAGTAGGGTTTATTTAAGTGAGAATGATAAAAACAGAACTCTTGCAGGACAAGAGGGGACCCCAATAGGTTGCCACCTAGTATGCTAGTATAGGGATTTGTAGGGTTTGGAAAAGTGCTAATGCTATTGTTCCAAATTTATGCTTATCAGGATTTGGGAAAAATATTGGTCCAAATTCATGCTGACAGGTTTTGGAAAAGTGCTACTGCTGTTGGTGAAGCTGAAGTCTGAACTGCCATTCGGGTCTGCCCCACTTGTACTTCCTTGATGCTCCTCGGAGTTGGGAGGTGGGAGGCTGAGGCTGCAGGATGGTGGATGCTTGGGGTTCAGGGTGCAGTGCTGTGCAGAGCAGGTGTCTGCACCAGGCCTGGGTTGGGCTGCTAAGGCACGGCAGGTCGGCACACCCTGGCTTGCCACGGCTCAGGCTCATTGCACCGCAGCTGGTATGGCGGGCTCTGTGCAGCCGTGGCCCATGATCACCACACACTATCCAGTCCACCCTGCTGGATTGTTCCACTGCTCTGGGACAGAGGCTTGGCTTCAGTGGCAAAACTTGCATGAATTTTATTTTTCCTTCTGCACAATTTCATGGATAGAAGATTTTGTTCTTACCATAGATATTAGCAACCTCATTGTACAGTTTTGTTTTCATGTTGTCAAGAATTTTCACCCTTTCACTTAAAGGAAACACTTTACAGCTTTTCCTTCATGTATTTGAATTGCCAGCATCACAATTCTTACATTTTGGAACCATTACTAACATAAGCATTGCAATACTGCAAGAGTTGATCCTGAATACCAAGATAGTGACTAAGGGTGGGTAGTGTATACTGTGTGGATACTGTGGACACAGGGATGGTTCATTTCCCAGGTGGATGTGGATTGAGACAGTGAGGTTTTATCATGCTACTCTAAATGCCATGCAATTTTGAAACATTATTTCCATAATTTTCCACTCAGTATTTTCAGGGGTGGTTGACTATGACTAACTGAAACCTCAGAAAGTGAAATTGCAGATAAGGGGGACTGCTGTAATTGACAGATCATGTCAACATTGATGTCCTGGTTTTGATTGTTGTGCTAGGGTTATATGCTATGTTATTTTGTGGTTAAGGACATATGAGAATTCTTTCAGCCTTTCATAAATCTGAAATGATTTTAAACTGAAACAAAGATTTTTTTAAAAATGATGAGCATGGAGAATAGATTTGGTTGGAGTGTTGTGTCCTGATGCAGGTGGATGGACACAGGGTTGTGCAGGCCTGTGGGTTGGCATGTCACCAGGCAGAGCCGTGCCACGGGGCTCTTTGCATGTCTGCTTGGAGAACATGGTTGGTCCGGCAGCCTGCTGAGGCTTGGAATGACATCACACAGTGTATCAGTGGACAGCGCCGGTGCATGTAGAGCTTATTTAGATGGTCAGCTAGATTCAGCATGGTCAGTCTTAAAAATTTCATCAGGAAAGATTTATATTGGACATCAGGAAGAACTTCCCAATATGGAAAATAAAAGTGTGAAAGAGAGTGAATGAGCAGAACACTGTACTTCACATCAGGTACAAACTCACCCACACCCACCTCACATGGCCTTGGGCTCCTGTCTCTTCACTCTGACTCTCTGCAGTTCTCTGTGATTCTACCTACAGACCTCCTGGGATCCGACCACTGTGATGTCTTCCGTCTGACCCTCCTTCTGCCTTATCTGCTATTGTATAATAAATCCATTTCATTTCAGCTGATGCCCTGTCCATTGGTTTTTCACCTTACTGTGTTTTGTAAAATGTTTTAGTTGTAGATGAACATAATACTTTTATTTTATATGTTTTTAATCTGGTGCCAAGGATGGAACCCCGTGCCTCACACGTGCTAGGCCAGCGCTCTGCCCCTGAGCCCCAGCCCAGCCCACTTGTTGGGTTTTGGGAGACTGAAGAATCCCTCCCACTCGGAGCTCGCGGGGGTTTTCTTTATCTGCCTTTAAAGCTTTGTCTTGCACATTCCCATCTCCCTCCCGCCTCAGCTGATCCTGTTCATTGGGAAACTGGTTGGAATGAGGCTTTGCTGAGTCCTCTTGTGGCTTTTGTTTCCAAGTCACTTTCTGTTTTAATCGATGTACTTTTGTAACGTGTTTTAATAGAGGTAAGAAAAGGCCCTTCTCCTGCTTCCCCTGAGGGTCGTACACAGTTCTGCTGGAGATCTTGACGCCTTGGTTGGTGGAGGGGGAGTAACACATTGGTAGAGATGGGATCTGCTCCACAAATGTGGGGACTCTGTTGTCAGTGTCAGCCATCGGTCCTCGACCCCGGGGTTTGCTGAGTAAGCTGCCAGGTCTGCAGGGGTGATCACTGTCTCTTCCCCTCCACTTTTCTGCCCTCTTTTTCCGCTTTCGTCTCTTTTTGCTCTGGCCAGGATTTTCTGAACTGCGTTAGATGTAAGTAGTGATTCTTGGCATTTCCTCTTGTGTCTAACACAACTTCTCAGATTATATGAGGTTGATTCTATGTTGTTTTTCTGGTCAGCCTTTAAAAATGGAGCTTCCCTTTACACAAGTTTCTGGAGTTTTTTAAAGTCATAAATAGATGTCCTTTATTAACTGCTTTGGGCTTGAAGCTACTGAGATGCTCTTGCTGAGTTTCCTCCTTTGTGAGTCACCCTGATAGACTGGCAAACCTTGTGAGAGTCGAGTGGCGCCCAGTTGTGGTGCTGTCCGGCCATGGTGGATGCTGCACCTAACACTTGCCCAGGAGCTCACGCCTGCGGCCATGGCCCTCGCTGGACCAGGCATGTCTGTGTGCCATCCTTGTCTCATGGGATGGTGGAGGTCACACTAGCGTCCCTCTCTTCAGTACCCCAAAATAACATGAAATAGGATACGTTCCTGAAAGCCCTGGGTGCCTCACCTGCGAAGCCATCAGGCCTGAGCCTCCGTGGCTCCTTTCTGTGGTGGGTAGGGAGCAGTCGTCAGTTCAGATGTGGGCCACTGCAGGTGTGGAAGGACCCACTAGAGGGGCGAGTCTTGAGAAGGTGGGGTCAAGTTCGCCAGGACAGCCTTTTCCCTGCCCTGCCACCTTGGGGTGATGGCAGTGACCTGAGTGGACCCAGAGGTTTGTTTCAGAGCCAGGTCCTAGATGGCAGGGGGCAGGCTGGAAAGGCCGGGGACACTTCACCTGACATGAGTCACTGTACTTTGGCGTCTACAGATGGACAAGGGAGGGCCAGGCTGCCGTGGCATGCTCAGAGCCTTGACTCATCACAGCTGGCTCTGTAAGCAAGACAGGAGAAAGCTCCCGCCGTGCTGTGGCTCCTCCTGTGCCCCTCACCCTGCCGCCCCCACTCGGCGTCACCTTGGTGGAGCAGTCTTTGGTTGTGTTCTACAGAACCTTACTCTCCCTTCTGTCTGCCTTCCTCTGGAACGTGTTTGGGATGTCCCTTCGCCCTCCTGTCCCCGCAGGGTGAGCTCGCCTTACCCACTCCCAGCCCTCGGTGGAGGGCATTTCCACTGCGAGGTTTCCATGGCCCAGAGCTCCCTCTGCACTGGGAGGAGTCCTCTGTCAGGCCTCCCGCTCGGGGTCTGTGGACGTCTCTCTGGCCTCCTTCTCTGCAGAGCCCTCGTGGGCTGATGTCCATCACTCTTCTGCACAGGGCGTGGAGGGACGCCAGCGTCCTGCCCAGGTGTGCTGCTTCTCCACGCCACGCGCTTCCCGTGGTGCATGCGCCCAGGTCTGACGGAGCGGATGCCTGGTGGGTGCTCAGGCAGTGCTGGACAGGGAGTCCCAGGCGGGGATGAGTTGGCAGGGCAGATGTGTGGTTGCTGCACCCTTGTCACGGTCACTGGGGGCAGAAGCAAGTCAAGGTGGAGGAGGAGGTGCTGATGGCCGTGGGTAAATCAGGCAGGACACAGTGAGGAAATTTTTGAAAAAATTAGTACCCTTCAATTTCTCTTCTATAAAATTAAATATCCTGCTTGCCTTGTAGAATTATTGTGAATGCTAAGTAAGATATGGGAGGTTCTTTGTAAAAAATATAAATCACTATTGATAATGTAAGGTACCACAGTGACACATGCACGCCTGTGTTCGTAGCAGCACAGTTCACAACAGCCAAACCACGGAACCAGCCCAGGGGTCCGTCCACGGATGAAGGTAAAGAAAACGGGGTGTATGTCCACAATGGAGGTTTTTTCCTTCCATAAATAAGAATGAAATTACACCATTTGCAGGAAGTTGGATGGAACGGGAGACCATTATGTTAAGTGAAATAAGCCAACCTCAGAAGGTCAAGGGTTGTATGTTTTCTCTCATATGAAAGATAGAGAGGAAAAGGGAAAATAAAGGTGGGGCTGCGGGGGGGCTCATTAAAAACTGAAGGAAGAGCAGTAGGAAAGGAAGGGATGGGGGAGGAGGAGGGGAGGAAGGGAAATAGTGGGGAAGGATATTGGCCAAATTGTGTTGCAGTGCTGTGTGCATGTAGGACCAGGAACAGCCCCACCACTGTGAATGATCACAGTGCACCAGTAAAAATGATCACCAGCGCAAGTCTAGGGAATGTTTAACCACTGAGTTCTCCGCCTCTGTGGAAACAGCATCGTGTACTGTTCATGGAGTGTGAGCCACGAATGCACTGCCTGTCCTTACTACCATCATGGGGGGGCGGGGGGGGGGTCCATACTCTAATCATCACCCTCGTTTTTCGTTGTCTTCCCTGCAGCCCAGAAGCTGGGCCTCATTGCGCCTCCCCCGTTGCCACTGTCCTCAGAAGAATGGGAGAGTGTGAAACAGAGGTCCGTCCTGCACGGGGACTCCATGCAGCCATGCCCCATATGCAAGGAGGAGTTTGAGCTGCACCCCCAGGTGCGTGGCATGCAGAGGAGCAGGTCAGGCTAGGGGCTGCCTTCTCGTCACAGTGAGCCGAGCTGGACGCGCGTGGGATGCCAGGCCAGGCCTGCTCTTTCCAGCCCCGTCCTCCCCTGACCCTTAGAGACGTTCCCCATGTGGCCAGTCAGAGGTGTGTGTGAAGGAGCAGACAGCCTTGTGAGGCAGGTTGTGATTTACTGAATGATGCCAAGTCTCAGAGCAGGAGCATGCGAAACAGGAAGTATTCCGTTGCGTGAGCAGAGATGGCAGGTGGAGGGTGCAGGGAGGCCCGCGAGTCCCAGGGCAGGGGAATGGGCACAAAGGGACTTTAAGTTATTTTGTGAACTGAGTCATAAGAGAGGAGAGAGACTGTGTTTGAATGCCTTCAAAGAACTTGGGGGAGAACCCTAAGAAGGCCGTATCCTTTCATCTCGACTCTTGAACCTGTGGTGCGTGAGCAAGGATCCCACCTGGGTTTGTAAATGGCTCGTGACCAGTGGCCCACTCTGCCTGCTGCTCTGTCGCCTCTGGGGAGCCAGACTCAGGCTCCCAGAGCGTCCTTGGTACTGACGACTGCCCTTCAGGGACTGTCTGCTGGCCGCAGCACCCTGCTCCCCCAGGACAGACCAGCAGCTGCTCTCAGAGCCAGCGTGGACCCTGGCCTGAGGAGCTCCAGGCTTCCCTGACACCCTGGCACATAGTCTCTAGGGTTAATTTGCTTCAAAAAGTTTAATTATCAACAAGTAAGTTCACAATCATTAGACTTTTGTTCTTCACTAATTTAATTTGCAGGTTATTTGAAACATGCTTATTATATTCCAGTTCTCTATCAGGACCTAATCTCACATACGTGAGTTGAGCATTTTAGAAGAGAGTTTAGAACAACAGATTGCCAGGTAGGATGATTTATAACTCAGTGCTGAGTGTAGCAAGAGAGTTAATAAACCCACGGGGATCTTCCTGGCCTCAGCAACCTCTTTCTTAATTACCCTGTGAACATTTAGCCTGATTGTTCATATGAAGATGGAAAACTCAAAATTAAGTATCTTAAAGGGTGTCAGGGTACATCCTGCCCAATATTTCTTCCATTCTGCTCTTCGTTTCTCACTAAATTCTATTATTTTTGTTTATTTTGCATATCTAATCATTATTTCCATGTTAGCATTTTCCCAACACTTTACCATTTCAGAGGGCCTTCTGGTCAGGCTCACAGTTCTGAGGTGGGCACATGCCCACTTAGCAGATGAGGCAGTAATCTAAGTGCTCCACAGGCCAACTGGGAAACATGGGAGAGCCCAGCTAGAATTCAGTCCTGACTTCTAGGCCACTTTAGTCTGTTTACTATCAATCATTAATTTTTTATATCACCAGATGTTTGCCAGTAACGCATATTTGTGGACGTTTACATCTAGAAGTATAATATTTTAAGTCTAGAGAAGTATAGTGTTATTTATTGTTGGTCAATCATCTGTTAATAAAACACCTGATTTTTCTACCAAGAGTGAGTAATTAAGTTCTCGGATGATTTTAAGCACAAATTTATCCAATTTAGACTTATTGTTGACAGGAAGCATCAAGGAAAGGTTTTAAAACTTTCTGAATTCTCTATTTCTTCCTTTGTTCCTATTTAAGAATCATGGCATGAGTGAGGGCAAGGAGGACGGGGCTCTTGAAACAGAGCCTCCCCGCCTCCCAGGGCCTGCATCTGAGACTGGGCCTCCCAGGGCCGTGGGCACTCAGAGACCACTCCTGCTGGTCTCTCTGCTTTTCTTTACTGGGGCTAAGCTCATGTCCTTTGTCCCAGCACATCACTTTTGGTGGGGAATATGGGTCACAGAAAGGTAAGGTTTTCTTGTAAGCACTTTCCCCCACATTTACAAAAGAAAAACTGGGGCTGGGGATATACTCAGTTAGTAGAGTGCTTGCCTCACACGCACAAGGCCCTGGGTTCAACCCCGAGCACCTCAAAAAAGGGAAAAACTGATTCCTTTATCTCTGTGATTTCTTGGTATTTAAGTCTCTCAGATTATATTTCAATAAAGCTGTGATTAAAAGTTAAGTTGGACAAAGCATTCCTCTGCTCCTTCCCACAAGACCTCGCCCTGTGGACGTCTGTCCCTCTCAGCCCCCATCTGCCTGGAAATAGCCCTGTACCCGGCGGCCCCACCCCTAAACCCACTCATCAGCAGGGCAGGCATGAGGCCTGGCTGCCGCGGGGTCACTAGCCGTGTTCTCCTGTGGCCCTGAAACAGAACGGTGTCAGTGACAGTCTGCCTTTCAGTGTCCCAAGTGTAATGCGGCTGCCCTGTAGGCCCTGACAGTCGCCCTTGTAAGGATGCTGTGCTGACTGGCCCCTCTGTCTCCCGCGGACAGGTGCTGCTCTCCTGCTCCCACGTGTTCCACAGGGTGAGTCACCCCCGCCCCGCCACACTGCCCCCAGCAGCTTGCTCATCATCTTAGAGCGTCCCCAGAGTTAGCCCTCTGTTTTACCCATGATCACCACTTGGAGTTAGCACTGTGACTGTAGGCCACACTGCAGTCCATCCTGTTTTGAAAGCCATGAATTTTATGTGACAAAAGAACCACAGACATTTGTGCAACAGATTGTCGCAGTGAGGCACATCAGGGTGAGTGACGGACAGCGTGATTCCTGCCGTGGTCTCCGAGGCCAGGCCGTCTTGTACATGGCTGCTGGCCTTACCACCCATAGGTTTTCAGGAGGTTTTGATGTCTCTGCATGTGTATTCTTGTAAAAAGTCATTTTTGGAACAGGTTTCATGAGGAAGGTGTTGACATCTGATGAAACTCCTTCACTTCATAGTCTAAATTGGACTAAGTCTCATAATTATGAGAGAATAGAACACTATAATTATATTAGAAGTAAAAATGTTGTTCATAAGTAATTACTCATAAAATGTTAAATGAAATCTTTTTTGCAGGCATGCCTTCAAGCTTTTGAAAGGTTCACAAATAAAAAAACATGTCCTCTCTGTAGAAAGAACCAGTATCAAACCCGAGTGATCCATGATGGGGCCCGTCTGTTCAAAGCCAAGTGTGCTACCAGGTAAGAGCTCTGCCCAGCTGTGGCCAGCGTCCTGCCAGGTGAGGCGGGTGTCTGGGGCCCCACCTGCTAAGCCTAAAAGCAGAGGGCTTCATGTCTCTGCTGGGTCCTGGTCACCTTGGTCTCCCTTGGGCCTGGCTCAGCACAGGGCTCACAGAAGCACTGAAATGTTTGTGGAAGTCACTTTAAGGCAACAGCGAGCAAACCTGTGTGTTGTAGGATCCAAGCCTGCTGGAGAGGCTACGTGGTTAGAAAGTGGTACAGAAGCCTGAGGAAAGCAGTGCCTCCCACAGATGCCAAGTTAAGGAAGAAGTTCTTCGAAGAAAAGGTAGGCATGGGTCGTTCCTCTCCAATGGTCTCTGTGTGCAGGTGCTCACACCCGGTCCGTAGAGCCAACAGGGGCAAGAGAACTTCGAGGCTTAGTTCATTTTTTAGGGTGTTTAGACGAGTGAAGGCCTGAGAAAACCTACTCTCCTCAGTGGCTCTCCAACCTTGATCATAAAACAACAACAGGTTAGACTGCAAGCAACTTTCGCTTCCCCATTTGGAAACTGGCTTGAGTTTTCACGTCCTGGTAATTCTAAGGGAAGCAGAAGCCAGAGCTGGGAAGGAAGACGGCAGCTCTCTGGCTGGACGCCCCTGGGCTGTGGGCCCCCGGATTGCAGCACGCAGAGCTTCGTACTGCTCTTTACTTCTATTTTTTACTGGGCTGGGGGGGGCGCTTATTTAACAATTTCAATGATTTGTGCCTTGTAACAAAGGCCAGGCATGGCAGAGGGGAGGGTGCCCCCAGACCCGGAGCCCACCCGATCCTGCCTTCTTTGTTCGGCCTGGTGGGCACAGGCAGGTCACAGGTGCTCCCAGGCCTGTCTCCTGTGTGTGACAGGAGAGGGATTTCAGCTTGCAGTGTCAGTCTGAGCCCTGGACAGGTGTTCACGGAGGCCTCGCTCACAGCAGCACTGGGAGTTCCCACTGTGCACATGGCGTGCTGTCCCAGCTGATGTGCATGGGAAGGGCTTTGGAGCTACTGACACTCTGTGCCTTAGTCAGCTTCATCCGCTAAGCTAACACCACCACAGCGCCCTGTGATCGGCTCTCTGCTGAGCTCCTTGGACTCCCACTTGGACTAACGCGAGGTGGGAGCACGCCTCCCTGTCTGGGGCAGTCCCCTTCCCCATGTGCCCTGGGCCTGGGGCATGGCATAGTAGATCTTTTGCTTTAGGGATAAGGTCTGGGCTCATCACGGCCTGCTGCCAGGTTTCATGTGACTTGGTGTGACCTTGGACGAAAGCTCAGTGTCCTTGTACCTCAAGTGCGGCTTCAGAGACCCCTTTGTTACCTGAGTCATCCCAGAACCACACATGAGTCCTGCAAGCCCTGGCCTCGGGGACGCTAACACAGGATGATCTTGTTCTAATACTGTGCCTCGTCACCTAAGTGTCTGTTTCACAACACAGATGTGAGTGAGGGTAACAGAGCGTCCCATTGCTTACTGTGGTGGACTGTGCTGTCCCTCTTGGCCTGGGTCCCAGGCTGTGGGAGGTGGGGCCCTGCAGAGGGGAGTAAGGAAGATTGAGGTCCCACTGAACGGGGAGGCAGGGATGTCTGAGGAAGGGCCACCGTCTGGTGCCAGACCCTCCCCTGCTGTGTGCCACTGGTGGAGAGAAGCTTTCCACCTGCCCACACTGCCTGGTTCTTTTTCAGACATCCCCATTCACAGAAAACACAGCAAATGGGCAAAAGTTCTGACAGGTACTGGATAAAGACTGTGTGTGGCCTCTGCTTCTCTCGGCAGCCCGTCCTTTCTTGTGCAGAGAAAGCAGCAGCCACCTCTTTCTAGGTCTCTGCTCTGGTGCCCGCCCCGGGCCCAGGTTGCAGTGGCAGCCACGTTTGCAGCTTTGCAGGCGGGAACAGGTCGGGGCGCCGTGGGTCCAGGCGGTGGCTCTCTGCCCACATGGAGGGGTGCTGTAGCGGGTGTTCTCCCGTCAGTGGATGTGGTCTCCCCTGTGGCTTCCGTCTTCTTGAGCCCACCTTCTTGTGCGTTTTGCAGCAGCAGTCCACGGTCAGGCTTCCCCTGGGCCACTCCCCCACGGTCACGCTCCCCCTGGGCCACTCCGCACGGTCAGGCTCTCCCTGGGCCACTCGCCACGGTCAGGCTCCCCCTGGGCCACTCCCCACGGTCAGGCTCCCCCCTGGTCCACTCCCCACGGTCAGGCTCCCCCTGGGCCACTCCCCACGGTCGGGCTCCCCCTGGGCCACTCTCAGCGCTAGGTTTCTGTTCGTTTATCTGCGATGGACCTCACTGTTGCAGTGCGTAGGTTCCAGGTGACTACTGTCCCAGAGGCAGGAAGGAGCACACGTACGTTGCACGAACTGGTGTGACCGGCCTGGTCTGCACTTGGGGCTGAGATGACCCTGTAAAGTTTGCCAGCTGACAAGAACCCGAGAGGCACAGTCCCTGCCGGGTGTGTGCCCCTGCACTGGGCTGGGGGCAGAGGGTTAGGGACAGCAGGAAATGCCCCCTCACAGTGATGGCATGTGCCCGCCGCACAGGAGACCCCCGTGCTCCCTGCACCCCGCGCTCACACCTCTGTCCTGCTTCCTCTCCACAGCCCCGTCTGCCGTGGCACTGTGCTACTCACCTGGGCCGGTCCCTGGCAGAGGGGCTTGCTGGAGCAGGTTCTGAGGGAGGCCTGGCCCCTTGTCATGTGGAAGGGAGGGCAGGGTAGGGCTGTGTGAATTTGGAGCACTCTGAGGTCCTGCCAGAGCTCGTGCACACACAGGAGTGTCACGAGTGTCCTGGGAGATCTGCTTTAGACTCCTGACCAGTTCAGAAACCCGCGAGCAGCCAGCCCTTGGTGCTGCAGTTCTCACACCTCCTTTCTGAGCACTGTCCCCTCCCCTGGCCTTAACACATGAGGACTTAAGTCAGGGAGGTGTTCCTGGGGCGAGGTCAGGCTCCGTGTTCCACAGGGTCCTCCCAGCTCCTCAGCCGCTGTCCCAGTCACAGGACTCCTGCAGTGGGGCATTCTTCCTACCTTTAAGACTTTAAGGCTCCATCAGAGTCCTTCCCTGAGCTACAGAAACACAAGGGACCGTTAGCCTATAGTTTAAAGGTCAGCCTGTTCAGGAATCTGAGGGCTCTGAGGGCCTTACTGAATTCACCATGACCAAGGCGTCCTGTGACTGGGCTGAGGGTGGCTCAGACTATCTGTTTGATGTCATCTCTGGGTGTGTCCATGAGGACACAAGCAAGATTAGCATCTGAGTCTGTAGAATTAGAGAAATAAGTCACCCTTCCCAGCGAGGGTGGGCAGTAGCCAGAGCAGAACAAAATGGCGGAAGAAGGACAATCACCTGGAACAAATAGTTAAAACAAAAAAATGGACTCGGCAGCTCAGGAGGCTGAGGCCAGAGGACCACAGTTTTGAGGCCAGCCTCAGAAACTTAGCAAAGCCATAAGCAACTTAGAAAGACCCTGTCTCAAAATAAAAAGGGCTGGGGATGTGGCTCAGTGGTCAAATACCTCTGTGTTTAATCCCTGCTACCAAAACAAACAAATGGAGACAATGTGTTTGGAGGAAAGCATTACAAAATGAATTCATGATCTGAGAGAGAAAGGACTTTTCTGAATGTGTTTTTGCATAAGCCATTAAGGAAATGATAACAAGATAAAATTTCAAAACTTCTTTATAGGGGGATAAAAATTAAAAGATGACCACGTCAGGGAAATGTCTGTGAGCATACATGTCCTTAAACATTTCCGTAATACACTGTGACAAGCAGTCTGCAGAAGAGGGACTGCGGTACAAGCTACGGTGGGGGGTGTCCAGCCTTCCTGTGGTTAAAACGAAAGGTAAGAACCCACCTCACCAGAGAGGCAAGAACTGGAAAGCAAGGTGATGATGTTCCAGCCCAGAGGCAGAGGGGGAAGGGACGTCCTGATGACCGTCCCTGGAGTGCTCAGAGGTTGCTCATACATGCCCGATACAGCCACATTTCCAAAGAGGAAGAGCACGAGCTACCAGAGAGGCTCCCACTGAGGATACCTGGGTGACCACTGCACAGCAGCCACAGAGCCCCAGGTAGACGTGCAGAAAGGAAGATTTTCAAGATAAGTGGAAAAGCAACGTGTGGAATATTTGATAGAATTTTTTAAAACATAAATGAGAAAAAAGTGAATCTGAATAATCTTTAGGACAATATAGTAGCGATCTTAACAGTAGTTTTCTGTACAGAAAAATGGGAAGACGAGGTCAGGAAGAGAATTACCTTTTGTTTAAGCCTTTGTGGACTTTCTGACCTTATACACACAGTGTGAATTTTGCTTCCTTCATCAAAAATTATCTGTAGAGAAAATTTGTGTTCTCTGCTTTTTCTGCTTGGTATATTTCTATATTAAATAAAAAAATTATCTAATGTTAAAAACTATTCCAGCAAAAGTCAGGAAAAGGGAAAAAGGCAGCAAGGAAGGGTGATCAATAGAAGGTAAGATGACAGAGTAAAACAGCAGTAACAGACATGACCGGGACAGACTTCCCTGTCTCATAGCAAACTCTTGGAGAACAAAATGAAACAAAAATGCTCCGTATAAAGGCATGCTCACCACAACCATGCCAGCGACCAAGACGAGATCCCATGAAAATCAAAATAGCATAATTGAATGTTAAATAATGTATTTTGAAATTTAAACTCTAAATTCTGATGTTCATGACCAGAATACCAGTCTTATTTGGTGAATAGCTAAAGCTATTCTTAGAGGCAAATTAGTAGTGTCAGATAGAATTATTACTAAGCACAAAATATTAACAATAATGAACCACTCGTCCAAGTCAGAAATCTGGAAAACAACACTGAACTTTCTCTTAGATGAAGGAAGTAGACAATATAAAGATAAAATAGATATTAGGAAAAAAGCAAAGCTGGTGGATGAGCTGTATTTGGGGGGAATACTTTGAGACAAATATGTCACCAGAGTTTAAAAATACTATAAAACCATTTCATGGGACCCAAAGCCCGTGGTTCTGGCACACACACACGGCTCTCAAGCGGCTTAGCAGAATCACCTATCAGCACCTCTGCAGAACTCCAGACTGTGCCCCACTCCCACGCAGGTCACTCGGCTGCTGCCTACTCACAGCACAAGGTCATCACCCAGCTCCCCCCACCTCACTAGACACCCCAGTGCTGCAAGCAGACCAAATCCATCTTGGAAAAACCTTTCTCGCCATATTTGGTGGGTGTGGCTATCAGATCAGGTCTCCATCTGAGCAGCATATCGTCCTATGCCCGACCCTCAGTTCATCGTCCACCGCCAGAGACTATAAA